AACCTGGCATCATGTAGCAATTATTATGAGCACAGAAACAAACACTATAAGTGTCTATATAAATGGAATAATCGAATCTCAGAAACCTCTTCCCTGTCATAGAAATACCAATTTGATTGATGCAGACTTCAGATTTGCTGTTGTTTTTGATGATGACCCATCAGCAGGTAACAAAAAAAAATAAAAAGGCAAATAATATTTTGATATATTTACATTGTTTTAAAATACTTTCTTTGAAATTTGACTCGATTTTTTTTGTTTAGTTTAGTCACTAAAGCAGAGGATCACACTTTTGTTTTCCAGAAATAGAAATTTAACTTATTGTTTTCTTAAGAACATACTTTTTTGCATTCGTTACAACCATTTTATAGTTTTTTTCCTGTTATATTTACACGTACATTTGAAATTATTAAAAAAAATATCAAAATATGACATTTCTTCTAGAATTCCTGTCAAACTTATCATATTCTCATTTTTATTACATAGTTATCTCGATATCTGGGTATCAAATTACACCAAATGTTCCGTCTGCTGACGAAATTCTTCAACATGCATCGTCATGTAGTTACACAAGGAATGATACATTTGTTACATTGAGCAACATTGACTGGACATCTATAAATAACTCACGCATAAAAACGCCAAGCCAATGTGACAGTGAGTTCTAGCTAGGATAAAATAATTAATGCATCCAGAGTATCATTCAGATAAATATTTCCTAAAAGTCATTATTTATTCTATCGAAACTGTATATGCTTAATTAAAAAAGTCATTCAAAATACTTAATCAATCATATATATAAATTATAATTTTTTTATAAATAGATTATATTATGCATTATTGACTGTTTATGCTTATATACTAAAAAAAGAAAAGCCTAGATAAGTCTTCAATTTTAGATGTCAATCAGTGTATCCCAAATCCATGTAATGGTCATCACTGCATAGATTTAGTTAGAAACTACAGATGTCACTGTAACAATGGTTTCACTGGTGAATATTGTGAGGTTCCCCCCAATTACTGTAGCGCAGTGCCGTGCAAAAATGGTGGCGTCTGTAAGAATGGAAAATACACTCACATATGTTCATGTTCAAGAGGGTACAAAGGGAAAAATTGTGAAATTCCTGTCGGTAAGAATCCTTTTTATTCACTTAATTTCGTATTGCTGTTACGCAGCTTAGTTAAGGTTAAAGTAAGAAGATGGGGCCTAATTTGAACGAAAAATGTTTACTATGACCTCACACATAATATAAGGTTTTCAAAAATACCAAAAAATGAAAATATTTGCTAAATCAAACAGCTGGATAGCTGTATACTACATACAAACTTACTATTACATGCAGTTTTTTTCGTTTGATAAATCCCACACAACAGTAAATAAACGATGCATCGATCGCAAAGCACTTGTCCAATCATCTCGCAAATATTTTCAGATTTTTATTTTGGTTATGTCCTTGCAATATTGGAGTTTATAGATGACCTCAAAACTGCAAGTATAATTGCTAAAATTAAATAACGTCGACATGACGTGTAAAGTCTAAATCATAAATGTTTATGTCCACAACATGTAGATTCAAACCACATTACTTTTTAATATCAGTGAAGTCCTAAAAAGAATCGCCCATCCTTATGAAGTATGTATTTTTATCTTTAACACTTGCAAATATTTCCATTTGTAACCCTAACTGTGTTATGTATAATAACTTATATAAATTAGGTTTTGTTTCACCAAAATTACTATGACCAACCAGGCTACGGACTGTCAATAGCTTGTCTATATGTATTTCTTTTAAATTATGTTATAAATCGTAGTGTGCATCTTCTAGAAATGATTAAAAAATGAAAATGAAATAAAAATGATTAGCTCTGCAATGAAGAATTCAAATGGGTGTGGGTATGATAAGTAAAAAATGAATTTGCATCATTATTTTTTAAATCTTCTTTGTTCCTGTAAATTCGTAGAACCAAGCTGTATATGTGCAAAATATTAAACCCATACTTCTAACAAATGTTAGGTGTGACAGACGGGTGGACGGACTGACAGACAGATGTTGAGTAAAATTAAAGTGCTTCACTGCTCTGCGGGCAACAAAAACTTGTCTTTTCTAATCATTTTAGCTCACTAGAGGCGAACGCTTAAATGAAGTTTTCTGGTCACATTTTGTCTGGCGTCCGTCTGTCTGTAAACTTTTCACATTTTCGACTTCTTTCTCGAGAACCGCTGTGCCAACAAACTTTTAAACAAACTTGCCACAAAGTATCTTTGGTGAAGGGGATTTAGGTTTGTTCAAATGAAGGGCCATGACCTCATTCAAGGGGAGATGATTGGGCATTAGTGAACAGAACTATATGCTGTATATTCCATATATTTGCCCTCCAAAAAGAAAAAAAAATGAAAAATCCTTGCTGAATTCTATAAAGTGTATATGAAATATAAATTGAGAGAACATTTTATAGTTTCAAAGTAGTTTATAGACAATTTTTTTGTTTTTATGACATCACGAACTAGTCCGATTTACATCATTGAAAGAGCACAAAATGGACAAATTTCAATAATCTTCGCTTTAAAATTTATCGAGCGCAAGTTTGCTCAGGAACAATATTTACATATTTCATTGATATTATCATTCTACGACAGTATATCAAAATATTGAGCCTGATCAGACATGCGCTCGGTGACTTTTACTATCGCCGTTATATATATATATATATATATATATATATATATATATATATATATATATATATATATATATTTATATATATAAAGCACTAAGAATGACCAACGACACGAACAATAAAAATTGTCAAATTTTCGGGACGCCCTGTCCCTTCCTCAGGACAAAGAAAAAAGTTAAAAAGTCATAAGAACAAAGAAAAAAGCGATACAAAAACAACTAGCACTACTACTAAACTACTAAACAATATATATTTACACATTTAATTACATGTTGAATTGGAAATTTTTAGAACACTATTAAAGAAAATTTGACAATTTTTATTGTTCGTGTCGTTGGTCATTTTTAGTGCTTTATATGAATTTCCATCCGTGACCTTGTATCTACTTGGCAGATCCGACATTTAGGATATACAGTGTTGTTGGTTTTTTAGTGATATATATATATATATATATATATATATATATATATATATATATATATATATATATATATATATATATATATACTTGTAGTTATCTTGGAAATTTTTAATTTACGTCATTTTTGTGACGACTTTTCAAACACTTGACATCATAGATGAAAACATTCAGTGTTTTGAAGTCAGCATACATCCCTTTATTAAAAAACATAATTAAAAATTTCTCCATCCAAGTTTGATTTGGGGGGCAAATATTGGTTATTTTCGAATAAATTAAAGTTCTTTGGTGACATGTCTGAAAAAAACTCCTAAAGAACCACTTTTCCAGGAAAGTTGAAACTTATGGGGAAAAATCCTAAGTGAGTGGAGATTCAAGTTTGTTCAAATCATGACCCTGGGAGTAGGAAAGGGCCACAATGACCGATCAAAGTTTTACATCGTGATTTACAGCTCAACAAACTTTTTAAGCTCACATGGTTATTTGCACTAATTAAGGTCACATTTCATTTACTATAATCCTTTTGGTTTTGTCTAAATGTAACATCGAAAAGGGATAACATTGCAGAAAGAAAACATACTAGGATAATGAAGTACTCTTTATTTTTTCTAATAAAAATTTGTTTCTATGAAAAGGAAAATTCTTCTGCATTTACGGTTTGAAACGTTAAAATTGGCTGTGGGATGAATCTTTTATGATTCTAGATTTAAAAAGGTGACTCTGAAAATGCCACCTTATTAACAAAGCAGTCAATCAGATAAAAATACTATTATCACCCTGCACTGAAGAGTCGGAATGTACAGAAAATACAAGTTACAGTAGCTGTATCGTTCCTTTGTCTATGTTTCCACAAAGAGCTACTGCTTTCAAAAGAACGGATAAAAAGACAGCTGCAATTGGCAAGAAACCAAAAAAATCAAATGGAAATAGTTGCTATTTTTTCAGCCAAGAATATCGAAAAGTTCTTGCAATTGATTTGTATGAATTATGTTTCAGCAAATGAAATAAAACTCAAGTAATGTAAGCAAATACTTTTAAAATGTATTTTCTCAATACAAAATATTACATTATAACAACGTGACTTTAATTTGTGCGAAAAACCATGTGAGCTTAAAAAGTTAGTTGAGATGTATAGGAAAGTCCTTTAAAAATCTTCTCAACATGAATAGCAAAGCCATAATTGCTAAAATTTATATGGAAGCATCCACAGATAGTTTGCTAAAATCATGACTCCCGGGGATAGGGCGGGGGGGGGGGGGGGCAAAATGGCCGATCAAAACTTTACATTGTAATGTATCTTTTCAAAAATATCAAAGCCATGATTGCACATAGGACAACTTTTTTGATTTAAACTTTTCAATAATAAAACAATTTCTACTTTTTCCTAGATTGCAGTCAACAATTTCATGAAAACATTTTATGATAATAAAGTTTTTATATCTGTAAGGTATTAACGAAGTCATTAATGACCTCCATTTGAAACAATGCAATACACAGAAAAGAAATATATGAAAAGTTTCTCATCAGAGAAAATTCTGAATTTAAAGTGAATAAAAAGTTTAATAGCAAGCAAAATTCTTACATTATTTAGCTTTCCATAAATTTGTCTCTGTTTTTTTTTTTTTTTTTGGGGGGAGGGGGGTGTTGGTTCTAATTCGTATATTTTACATGTTGGCTCACTCAAATACGTTGATTTCCAACATTCCCTATATATATATATATATATAAAATTATCTATACAGTGAACGGTGGTTGGAGTGCTTGGAGCGATTTTTCCAAGTGTTCAGTGACATGTAATGGAGGCATTAAGACGAGATTTCGTGTTTGCAATAATCCATTTCCGGATTCCGAAGGTCTCCAATGTAACTCTTCACTGGCATCGGATTATGTGCATTGTAACACCATGGCATGTCCAAGTAAGCCAATGTCTTATTCATTTCAGTTAAAACCATTCTCCGACTTTTATCTAAAAAAAAATTAATTGAACGTTTAATTTTTTTTATTCGATTTCCTTAATGCATTGTTTTGAGTTTTTAACATACAGTTTTTCTCTAAATAACAGTAAGTAAAACTAAGTTTTAACTCGAAGAAATCAATTATAATGTTAATCTTCCGATATTTCCGATTACAAGAGATAAAAAAAACACTTTCTATTTTACCATTTGGTACAGCTTGTCCGGAACTTCAACTCTCCTTTGGTAACGTGATGAACTGTTCGGATATTAGTGGGGACAAAGTTTGCACAGTATCTTGTGTAGCAGCGTACGCCTTCGCTCCAGAAAATCGTCCCCTCAAACAGTACAAATGTGGACAAAGCACTGGTTATACTTGGAATGGCCTTACACCTGCTTGCGGGAGTAAGTCATATAAATAACGTGTTTATAATGTCATATAAATATATAGAAAAAAACAATTGTCATTTAAATAATCACACTATAGTTTTAGTATTGGTTTGCATTCGTTTTTTTTTTCCAGAGGCAATGATACCCAATAAATTATCTTCAGTAACTGTCATTGAGTACAACTCATCAATGCCATGTACCGACTCCTCAATAGTTATAGAAACTCTACATAAAACATTAGAATCAACTTTGTCCTGCTATAAACAAGGGATATGTGAACTAACAACTTCAATGGACGGTTTGTAATTAAATTACTTATTACCACTTAGTCACTTATGGGTCCTGGGCCATTATTCTAAGCGGAGCTTATATTTAATCAATACCAACTTTAACCCCCCCCCCAAAAAAAAAGTACACAGTGGAACAGTGAGACTAAGATCAAAAGTAAAATCGTCTTAATTTTATGGAACCGGAAGCATGTTAGAGATCAGAGATCTTGCTGACATTCATATTTTTGGGCATCCTAATGTTTTTGGATACGTCTTTTTTACAAAAAAAAAAACCCCGTTAGATTCAAAGAGAGATGCACTACGTATAATAATTAGGTATAACGTAGACTTTTTAAAATCACCTTTCGCGCTGAAATTTAAACTAAGACCGATGTTAAGAACATACATTCTTTGCTCGTTTACATTTTATATCTTTCATAAATAATCTAACATGAACACATTAAAATCAGACAACATTGTTTCGATACTACATTAACAATACAAGGTAATAAACTTATAGGTCTTTCTTTATTGTATGTGTTGCAGTATTTATTGTATCCAAAAACTTATCGACGTTCTTATCTTCATTCAGAATGTAAAATTAAAAACGAAGCAGGTTCTTTAAAAGTAACTTTGAATGCAACACTTCCTGACGAAGACTTGGATTTGATACATTACTTGGAAACCGGAAAGTGTGAGTTAATATTGATTAATATATTGAATGTTATTGATATTTTCTGCATTCTTAAATTCTAAATTAAGAACAAACAAGATCCAGGGGAAGGGGTCGTTGTTAAATTGTTGGGTTTTTTAAATACATTTCTGAAAATAAGTCTTTAATTATATCTAGAAAACTTATTTGTCTGATACATTTGAAAATGAATGTAAATGATTATTTTTAAAATCATTTTTCTTTCACCATTATAAAAAAATTCTCTTGGACTATAGACATTGTGTGATTAATAAACTATGTAACTAAACCATGACAATAAAATAAAATGTGTCAGTCAAAAAATCACCGAATCGAAGGATTATAAATTTTATTATCAAATTAAAAAAAAAGAATTGATATTTATTTATTTTTCAAAATACAGATTTTAGGCACGTTGTCGAAACAATGAAAATGAACCTGACATTCAAACAAATATAGTTATAAGTGGAAGGATGTGGAGATAACAAACTGTATTCAACATCAAAGTGCATAAAACAATACAAAATAGGAGCAAAACAAACACGGACCTCCAATACATCAGAGAGATTGGATAAGGTGCCATGTAGCCCGCCGCGTTCTTCCTTGTAATGCTCTGGAAATAACGAATAATACGTGTCAATTTAATATATAAATAATAGACTAACAATTAGTATGAAAAACTTCATACAGCATTTGAATAAATAAAATATTTTCCAAATAATTGAATAATTTCCCTTCTATCTGATTGGTTGAGATCCAAAAATGTTAGAAACATACTACTTTATATTGACCTGTATGTGACCTTCCAGGTCAATACAAGGAAATATTGCAGGTCAATGTAATGAATCACGTGACCTTCAACGTCAACACAAGGAATCATTGCAGAACAATATAAGAATCATACTTGGATATTTTACTTGGAAAAATCGTTAATGGTAGCCTAACAACCAAATTATATGATAAAAGTGATGACTTTAACATTTCTGTCGTCAAGTTTTCTTACTTTTGCAACAATATACCTTCATCACCTGCATACAGCGTGTATATATCTCAGATGATTAGATACGCAAGAGCATGCTCTATGTATGAACAATTTCTTAAGCGAGGTAAATTACTGACAAGAAAAATGATGAAACAAGAATATCAGCAGTCATTATTTCGTAAGTTCTATGGTCGATACAACGAGCTTGCCAGCAAATACAATTTATCATTGAGTTAAAAGTCATAATTTTGTAAGTTCTATGGTCGATATGATGACTTTGTCAGCAAATAAAATTTATCATTGAGTCAAATGCTGACTGGCGTTTTTATACAAACTGTCAGTCCAATATTTATACACTGAATTGAGGGAGGATTTCTCCGTTATTTATCGATCATTACAATGAGCACACGGTGGATGTGACCGGAAGCAAGGGATGCTCACACCTCCATGGCATGGCACCTGATCCCACTTCTGATGTTTCGGAGGTCCGTGTTTGTTCTGCTCCTATTTTGTATCGTTCTATGGACTTTGGTATAGAATATTGTTCGTTATCTCCATATCCTTCCTGTTCCATATTTCATGTTACAATGTGTTTTTGTTGAAATTTCTCGTTAAAAGTTTCAATTAAGTTTGAATTGAGCTCAAAATGATGATTTGGCCACCTTCGAAGTACAATATTCACTGAGCCCGAAGGGTTCAGTGCATAATGTACTCCTCAGCTGGCTAAATCATTGTATTGACCTCATAAAACAGCAATATTTGTATAGTATCTGCTGACAATGTCAGTAAAGATCATGGAACATTCGAAATGATGATTTGTATGACTGGTTTTAAATAGCAACTAAGCCTTAACATGATTTTCATAGTCAAACTTTAAATCTATAAGCACTTGTTAGCTTCTTTCAAATAATATCTCTCTCTCTCTCTCTCTCTCTCTCTCTCATTAGGCGTTATTCTACTTCCTGACTACAATTATAAGAATTAGTGTACACGCATGTACTTTTTTCATGCACGACAATTCAATATATCTTTGAAGTAGAATTAGCTGGGCTTACCTTATTCCATAGCTAATATGATTGATTGATTGATTGTATGTTGTTTAACGTCCCTCTCGAGAATTTTTCACTCAAATGGAGACGCCACCACTTGCCGGTGGAAGGCTACAAATTTTGTCCTATGCTCGGCACTTGAGGCCTTTGAGCAGTGAGGGATCTTTTTCATGCCAGCACCTACGGCGACACGGGGCTAAGGTTTATACGGTCTCATCCGAAGGACCAGTCTCCACTTCCCGCAGTGGGATTCGAACCCGCGACGTAAGGATTGACTTTTTACTTCGCGACTCAAGAGCAGACGGTTTAACCACTGCGCCACGCGTGCGACCCATAGCTAATATGCTAGAATATTTCATTCATACATATATTGATAAAATTCTCTGCAATCACGCACTATTAATCAACAGGTTTTACATACAATATGAAATAATGTATAATTATGTTTTAAAAGCCGTTTTTGCAATAAATTTTATAGTGGATAAAGGTTTGAAACGCTTGGTAGACACACTGGTAGACCTAGAAAATTCTACCAAAAAAATAAATGACTCAAGTGAAGTCCTTTCCCTCGACATGGGCGGGATTAAGTATTCACCTTCAAGAAAACAGGCTACAGGAATTGTTGTGTGTGGAGTTGGACAAGGAAGTGATGGCCCTATTTGCAGTAAGACATTTAACTACACTGTAGAAGATCATTTGATTTTACTGTCTTATGTTTTCTTTTATTGATTTGAAAATATCTTGCGGCATGTACTCTTTTTATGAAAATTACTGACATCTAAATGAAGCTCAACTTGAACCTTCCTGAACATGTTTTCTTGTGTGAGAAAATTTTTAAAAATACTCTTAATTTGGAATATAGCTACATTGATTCAAAGGAAATATAAATTCTATGAAAAGCTAATATTAAATGCCACAATTTATGAATAAATTTGTAACTTGCATCAATAGGTAAATCCTTAAAACAGCACACACGAAAAAGGCAAACAAGGTGGCAGTGTTTTAACATTGAATGCATTAATAAACATTGCAATGTTATTAGTTATCCAGGTTCAATCAAGGGTGTACGGGGATTTACCCCGGGTTTTATTCCATACACCCTGAGGCCTGAGGCCTGCGGCCTCAGGGTGTATGGAATAAAACCCGGGGTAAATCCCCGTACACCCTTGATTGAACCTGGATAACGAATTTATTTCCTTTGTACCTATAAAAATGCTTTGTAAACATCAGAGTGTGTCTCAATCTATCGATTAGATATCTACGTACTGAGAAAGTATGCATTGTGACGTCACGTTTTATTTACACCCGGCTCAAGTCGGGTGCACGGATATTTACACCCGACTTTGTAACCAATCAAAGCTCGTGTTACAAGCTAGATAGGAAATAATTATATATATTTATGTACTTTCATAATGGATCATTAAAACTGCGAATTGGCCTAAATATTGATCATAATATTCCACAAAAGTAACAAAATAACTTTAAAAAATCAATACCAAGATACTGAGGAATGTCCTGTTACAGGGTTGTTCTAAGTAATCAAATAATATCTGTAATTAACAGAAGTTTATCATTTTGTAATATACGAAATAGCAATTTTTAAAAATAGATACAGATAATGACGAAAAAAATTCAAAAATTTTAAAAACAATTGTATGAAAGTAGAGGAATTGTTTTATTGTCCATTCTCATAAAAAGAATCAATTCGATAAATACTCCTGTATAAGAAACTTATAAATATCAGTATCATTAATACATTGTATAAATTTTGCATTTATAATTTGTCCTAGTTGATTGTCCAATGGGTACACATTCAAGGGCTGGGAAATGTCTTCCATGCCCAAAAGGAGCTTATCAGAGTAAAATTGGACAAACTCGGTGCATTAATTGTCCTTCTGGTTTTAGTACAAAATTTGTAGGATCTCAGGATGTCTTCAAATGTACTGGTGAGTGTTTGTTTTTCGTTGGGCAGTTCTGGAAACTAGATTTTCACCAACTTCGAACACATAACTTTTTTAAACTTTTGTTATAAATAGAAATATTTGGTATACAAAATGTTAAAACTGTAAGTTTTGAACTATTGTTCGATTTTTAATTGAATTTTATCATTATTTTACTTATATACATGTAGGGTGAATGACGCTTTTTTTTTTTTTTTTTTTTAAAATTATTAGCCATTTAAAATATTTTACTTGAAGTTGCAAAAAGAAATGACGTTGCTGTTTTATAACCTCAACACTTTATGCTCTCCCCCCCCTTTTTTTATCTGGTGCATGTTCTTTAAATGTGCACATTTTATAACCAATGTCTAGAATGATATAATTCCGCAGACAGCTGGTTGTATTTCACTGAATCAGTGAGAAACTCAATTAAAATAATTACAATTTGTATAAATCAATAGGTATATGGAGTTTACAAGTTCTTATGCTTACATTTCAGAAGTGATAAACGCTACTACGAACTCTTTGGAGCAAGACCAAGGAAGCAGCACATTGGGTAATTAAACGACATTGGATATTAATTAAATATAATAAAAAATGATTCATGGGCACCTTTGATATCGGATTGAGAACTGTGTACCTATTTAGTTTCTTTTATATAAAGGAGTTACAGAAGCTGTGATTATTGCACTCTCTGTGGCGACGATTGTAACAGTCCTCCTGATTGTGTTGAGTGTAATTTTTCGGCATCATTGTGGCAAACGAAAAAACGTGTAAGTTATTGTAAATTTTATGACAGATTACAATTGTATTTGCTGAAAAAAATAATAAATATCAGAATATCTCAAAAATAGTGAACCTATGATAGCTTTTAAACTCATTAGTAGCAACCTACAATATTCGCCAGTGAGAGAAACACCAATGTAAAGTTGAAGAACTCAAAATCCAATATTGCTCAATCGTTTTTCTTTTTAAGTTTTTAGATGATTATAATAAATTAGCCTCCTTTTTGAACGGATGTAAGTTAGAGATTAAACAGATTACATGATGGATAACCCGATCTTGATGTGACTCGGTTCATCATCGTCATGGTTGGTTTGAATCTATTCCAAGCCAAATTATACAGCAAGTTGTGTTTTCAAACATGTTGCCATCAATTTGTACGTTTGTGTTTTTGGCTACGTCCCTTCGTGACGTCATAAATTATGCAGTTAATGAGTAATCCAGAACACTAACACAAGTCCCGAGTTTCAAAAATTTTTATCTTACCAGTTTTTTAATGTAATTTTTGGTCAAGCAGTCAAAAATATCACCTATTTTGTTACCATGTTTCTTTTACCTTACATACCGCATTGAAGCATCTATATATGAGATACATGTACATATTTAGCATACTAGAGTGTTTATGTTTTAGTTACATGCCATAAAGCTCAACAAACTTTTTAAACGCACATAGTTTTTCGCACAAAATAAAGTCAAATTTTTCTTGCAATAAAGCTTAAGATTATCGAGTTTCAGAAAAAGACATAACCCTTATGGTATTAAATTGTTTTATGTTAAAGGTGCACATTCTCTAACATAATTATCATTTGTTTTAAAAGTTATTGTTCTAAAAGGAAATTTGTTTATAAATTGTATGATGTTAAATGTGTATGATTCTATCATAGGTTTTTACAAATCAATTAATGGAACTTTCTTTGATACTATTTGGTTTCTTAAAGATAAGTAATGTTTGAGGCACTTTGCACATTTTCCCTACTTGTCATGGTTTTGTCGAAATTCAGCGCCGAAAAATGACAAAACTGCATACAGAAAACGTGTAAAAGGAGAGAATTTTTTTACATTTATGGTCTGAAACTTTGAAATTTTGCGTTGGAAGGTATCTTTCATGATGCTAGATTTCAGGAAGTTAACCTGAAAAATGCCATCTTTTAAACATGGAAAGCAGTCTAACGGATGAGAAATACTTCTATCATCTTGCGCCTTAGTGTCATGTTAATGTTCAGAAAATACAGAAGTTACATGAACTGCAATCTTTCTGTATGAAGGCAAAGCAAAAGTATGCTTTAAAATGAACGGATATAAAGACGGCTGCATTTGATGAATAACATGGAAAAAAAATCTTTTGGAAACTCTTATAAGATATCAACCAAGAGCATATAAAAATTCTACCTATTATAATGTGTGAATAATGTTTAAAGTAACAGGATATGATTAAAATTAAGTAATAAATCATTTCTAAAATATTTCTTGTTGTCACAATACACAAGTTTTGCATTATAACAATGTGACCCCAATTTGTGCGAAAACCGTGTGAGTTTATAAAGTTTGTTGAGCTGTATATGATATGTATCGGTCAATGTAAAAATGAACATTAAAAATAGCTTAAATAGGGGAATGCTATTAATTAATCTATTTATGCATTTGTGTTGAACTTTGGAATAGAACGGCCAATTCTATAATGATAGAGTAAAAGAGAAAAAGTACAAAAGCCTATTAGGATCAATCTAGAGAAAAAAAATTAAAAGGCGTTATAACGCCTTTCGAAAAGGCGTAATAACGCGAAAAAAAAGTGTTATAACTCCTTTTGAAAAGGCGTTATTACACCTTTCCATTCCAAAAAGCGTTATATCGCCTTTTTAAAAGGCGTTATAACGCCTTTCTAAAAGGTATTATTACGCCTTTCCATTCTAAAAGGCGTTATTATGCCTTACTAAAAGGCGTTATTACGCCTTTTCAAAAGGCGTTATTACGCCTTTCTAAATGTCGTTATTACGCCTTTTGAAAAGGCGTTATTACGCCTTTCTAAAAGGCGTTATAACGCCTTTCTGAAAGGCGTTTTTACGCCTTTCCAAAATGCGTTATTACGCCTTTCTAAAAGGCGTTATTACGCCTTTTGAAAAGGCGTAATTACGCCTTTCTGAAAGGCGTTATTACGCCTTTCTAAAATGCGTTATCACGTCTTTCCAACAGGAATATAACTCTTTTTGAATAACCATTATTTTGCATTTAACAGGCCCGTGCTTTTAACCCCTCCCCCCCTCAACCACCACCCCCCACTCTACTGGCCAAACTCGTGGGGGAGGGCTTCTCGGTAAAAGTTTGTTTAAATGCAATAATTTGCCACAGTTTTACACACTGCAACTAAATGTTCAGGAACCAAGCCTTATGTTTAATTATAATATTGAAACTGTTGCACTGAAGACTTTCCCCCAAAAGTGTGTATGTGTGAAGGGGGGGGGGGGGTATTCGCACTCGTACTACTAGCCTACTTGAAAAAAAAAATGGAGAGGTGTTGTTTTATGTTAATAAATATATGAAAGATTTAATTAAACCATCTTTATTTATGCAATTTTCTAAATTCCTGCACATCACACTGACAACTGTTCGCATTCGTATTAAGAGTAGGTAACACTCTACTTGTGAAAATACGATATAGACAGATGTATCTTGGAGCTTTCCTTGCCATGGATTAAAATTCATGTCGTTTGAAGATATTTTTCTCTCTTCCTTGAAAAAAGCAGGCAAACTATTTGCATAGGTATAATGAGCAATTGAAATCAATGATCCTTGCAATGAAAGAGGTGCGTCTGGTATTAAAGAAGGACTTAGTTGGTTCAACATTGAAAATATATGACGCATTTAAAAATCTTTTTTCCTGGAAATCTAATTGTTATTAAATTATTTTTTGAGAAATTAGTCCTATATCAAATTGTAAAATTAATGTCCCAAAGGTAAGATTTCTGCAACTCCAACCCTCGGTTGGGCTAAATATGTTTTGTCATGTATTCAAAATAAAGACGGAATAACGGCTTTTGGAAAAGGTATAATAACGAATTTTGGAAAGGCATAATAACGCCTTTTAGAAAGGCGTAATAACGCCATTTGGAAATGCATAATAACGCCTTTTGGAAAGGCGTAATAACGCCTTTTAGAATTGAAAAGCGTAATAATGCCTTTTAGAAAGGCGTTAAAACGCCTTTTAAAAAGCCGTAATAACGCCTTTTGGAATGGAAAGGCGTTATAACGCCTTTTTTCGCGTTATTACGCCTTTTCGAAAGGCGTTATAATGCCTTTTAATTTTTTTTTCTCTATATTGATCCTAATAGGCTTTTGTAAAAAAAGACTAGTATTGTTTCATAATTACTTTGGTTTTATTTAATTTTTTTTATTTATACAGGAATCCAGATGAGGCTTACATGAGGAAAATATCTATCTTAAGTACTGGAAACTTGCCGAGTCTTTCAAAACCTAAACGTGAATGGGAAGAACGCAGGGAAAATATTTACGTCAGTTTACCACCAAAGAAATTTCGTGCCTAGAATATTTTATAACGAATATTTAAAATCTTACATTGAATGATTTTTCTACCCGAAACAAACAAACTGAATATAAGATAGATACATTTTTATAATCATTATACCAATGAAATATGTCTTCAAAATTGAATATATACTAGTACTTATTATTACTAGTTTTTTTTTTTATTTGATACGTACCAAAAAATAATGCTTTTATATAATCAGGGATTATAAAACTAGCAAAAGCCATTTGAATAGATATCTTGATTGTATTGTACAAGTTACATTATGTCTTTTTCCCTAGTGAATTAATCTCAATATATATAGTATTCTAATTTTATCACAATTACATGTATATGGTTGTACATGTAATTATTCTTTTAGCCTCCTATAAAATTAACGTTGTTTTTATTTTTTATTGTCAATTTTTTTGCACGTAAGGCATTTGTCCCAGTATGTCTAAAATACTATTCTGCAACGATGAACTTTTGTTAATTAATTATATTTTGCGTATACAATATTTGACGGAAATAGATTTTGAACAAACAAGCGTAGATTTGATATGATGCGTTTTTAAATGTTCTTTTTTAATGCATATATGTGCAAGAGATTTTGCGTCAATGTAATAAATACGGCATTTCTACTGTTTATAGCCGTAGTGCAAACAATCCATCAACAGGAGAAATGTATGAACCGATGACAGATATGAGTAAAGTAAAATACCGTCGATTTCTAATTATACGCGATAAATTATCTATTACATAATTCCGCAAGAAAAATTACTTGCGAAATAAAATTACCCACATTGATTGTTATTGTGCTTAAATCCATGTAAATTCTCTTGATCAACCTTTTCAATCTCGCGATTTGGCACTCCAATACCAATTCATGATAAGTACAGTATCTGCATGACAAAAAACATATCTTATGGTATGCAATACTATGTAAATATTATTTTTGTGATAATACTGTTCATATTTTGCTGAGTCGTCATTTTGTTGGCTGCATTTTTTTTCCCGCAATTTTTGTCCCCCGCATTCGTCTGTCTGTTTGTCCGTCAGTCTGTCCGTCACAAAAAAACTTTAACCTTGCCCATAACTTTTGATTTAGTGGAGCTATGACTTTCATATTTCACACGTATATTCCTTGTGACAAGACCTTTCTTTGGGTATCACCAAATTTGACCTTTTGACCTTGACCTTGGAGTTTGACCCACTTTAACACAAAAATTTCAAACTTTTACTTTGGCCATAACTTTTGAATAGTAGGTACTAGGACTTTCATATTTCACATATGTATTGTTTATGGCAAAACCTTTCATTGGATAACAACAACCTTGACCTTGACCTTGGAGATTTACGTACTTATGAAAAAACTTTAACCTTGACCATAACTTTTGAACGGTGAGGACAAAGGCTTTCTTACTTCACATATGTAATCCCTGTGAGAAGACCTTTCATTGGATACCAATAACTTTTACACTTTGACCTTGACCTTGGAGTTTTAATTACTTTTTTAAAACTTTAACCTTGGTCACAACTTTTAAACAGCAGATAGTCGGACTTTTATATTTCACATGTTTTCCTTGTGGCAAGACATTTCATTGGATATCAACAACCTTGACCTTTTGACCTTGACCTTGGAGATTTACGTACTTATGAAAAATCTTTAACCTTTACCATAACTTTTGAACGGTGAGGGCTAGGGCTTTCGTACTTCACATATGTTTTCCTTTTGAGAAGACCTTTCATTGGATACCAACAACTTTTACCCTTTGACCTTGACATTGGAGTTTTAACTACTTTTTAAAAAAACTTTAACTTTGGTCACAACTTAAGAACGGTAAATACTAGGACTATTATATTTCAAATATGTATTCTTTGTGGCAAGTCCTTTTATTGGATATCAACAACTTTGATCTTTTTACCTTGACCTTAAAGATTTACGTACTTATGAAAAAACTTTAACCTTGACCATAAATTTTGAACAGTAAGGGCTAGGGCTTTCATACATCACATATGTAATCCTTGTGAAAAAAACTTTCATTGGATATCAACAATTTTGACCCTTTGATCTTGACCTTGGAGTTGACCTACTTTTAAAATACTTTTTACTTTGGCCATAACTTTTTAACGGTCAGGATTAGGGTTTTCATCCTTTAAAAAAAAATCAACTTCAATGTTACTTTCTAAATACATGACATATGATAGGATGTTCATATTACACACAATATGTCATAAAAGATAACATCTCACCCACAAAGCGGGGGACCACAATTCTTTGAATTTGCTTGTTTTATATATTAAGCGTTTATTGTGCTATAGGAAATTTATGTCAATAGTTGTTGTATTTGAAATACCAAATATGTATACATGTTTTACTAGATATGATATTGTGCATTGCTTTGTATGTCAATTATAATCAATCTAATGATGAATAATTAAATACAGCTAACACTAAACATGCCTTAATTTACATCAGAAAGGGTATTGACGAGAAACTTTGATTTACACCCAATTTATGTAGGGTTATTAAAGCTGAATTTCATTTTTGAAAAGCATATTGATTTTATAAAAGCACAAGTTAGGCTTGTCAGGAACAAATCCCTTGGATTACATGTTTACAAATTTTGGAAACTAAAACTGCCATTCACGCACGTATTTCATCGAAACATGACGGAAGAAGTAGCATTCCAGAAACAACTGTGTATAAATTGGTATTCTTAAATGTCAACAGTTTGGGTAAAGTTGAATTATTTTGTTTTCACGAGAGACTGAAATATTAGATCTAAAGTGCCATTAAAGACAAAAATGAAATACTGGAATGTTACATATTTCCTCAGGTATTACAGGGTTATATAATACAAATTACAAGCTTACCTTACGTGAAAACTCAAGGAACTTTTATCTGTTATTGACATGTTACATTTTGTCTGTCATCCGATTGTCTGTAAATTTTTCACATATTAAACTTCTTCTCAAAAACGACTGGGCTAGTAACCAAACTTTCCACAAAGGATTCTTAAGGATTCAAGGTAATTCAACTGAACGACCTCTATAATTGTCAAGGTGAAATAACTAAGAAGAAATGAAAATTGATATGATCATTTCTCCCTTTTAAAAGTTATTGAGCAAAAAAAAAAGAAACTTACATGAAAATTTTATTAGACAGAATGTTTCTTTGATCAAATCATGATTTCGGGGGGGGGGGGGGGTAAATATTTCATCAATTGGGAATCAGCGGTTTACATTAGAGAAAAGAGAGTAATACATGTAGCATATTTGTAATAACAGCAAAGCTATCATTAGTAATATTTATTCAGATGAAAGCATCCTTGGGTAGTGTATGTTCAAGTTTTCTCAAATATAACTATTATTAAGATGAAGAAAGCTTAGGAATATCCGGCGACTGTGAGTGGTTTTTTGGTGTTAGGACGGTACGGGTCTTCACATGCAGGTAATACTAGTATTACTTGATTTGCTATTAAATTTATTCCTTATAATTTTCAATCATTAAGTGTATAGAAAACAAGACAATACCTCCCTAAAAACGGTTTCAATTAATCATATATAAAAAGTAAAGTCAAGCAGATTGAATTGATTTTTACGAAGTCATTGTGGCGTAGGCAAACCAGATATATTCAATTTAGAATAATTTTTTATGTAATCAAAGGATGAGTTACAGCCAAAATTAAATAATCAAGCAGATAGATCAAGTAACTACAATGTAGTTAGTTATGATAAGCAAATGCGCCTACTCCAAAATTGTGAATATTGGTATTGCCCCTTGGGAAGGGCATCATGTAAGGGAGTTTTTAAAAAAAAATAGTAGGAATGCAGGTTTGAATCAATATTCTCTGTCCCGGAATTATAAATAAAAGAAGAACCACGTACTCTAATTCTTGATTCCCGCCTACATTTTGCACCCTTTAAATTAAATTCTAATGGCAATCTGGCCATTAAATCTTGGTTTAGTACAAAGAACAGTTCTATGGTAATTGATTAATCATTTTAATTCCAGCTCTAGATAGTAAATGATCATTAATTTCAGCACTCAAAAAAAAGGGGGGGGGGGTTAGACGATATTTTCTAGTGAAATCGAACGTTCAAGAATCACTTTATTTTGAAAAATTCTAAATATGATTAAATGCATTTCATATCTTTTCTTATGCTGTACGCAAATAAATAAAACATATATAGATTATTAAAATACAATTATTTAGATGTAAATAGCTTTAAATTTGGTGAAAATTCAACATTTTTTTGTTTTTTGTCTATAAACATATGTCCCCCCCCCCCCCCCTCCCGTGAAACACAAAAAGCTTTGGCATAAATTTGTAAAATGACAGTCTATATTACCTGTAAAAAGGAATTTTTGTTTCATGGGGGGGAAAGATGTTTTAAAATATGTTCCGTTTTCCATTGATTTCTATAGTGAAATATTCAAGTTTTACCATAATTATAGAGTTATCTTTCTTTGGTATCCCAAAAAAGTAACGTTTTATGAAAATTCATATAAATATCTATAAAAATTCTGAAAATCATTCAAATATGTTAACTTTTGAAAATCGACTTAGAGCTAGGCGGGAGAACAATGCTATCGTTCGTGGTTCTTTGTTATGCCTAGCATTGAAAACTTCTCAAAAAAGTTAAATTCCATTACCCGGGGTCAGGTTTTTTGGTGTTAGGGTGAGCCTGTCTAGAATATATAGTAGAAATGCATTATTTCTTTGAAAATCTTCTCTGTCCGTAGATGTTAAGGAAGCGTACTGAGTGCATGTTTTGTTTTATCTAATTTGCAGGAAAAAAACAATTTTGTTACTTATGATGAGCAAGAGCGCCCCTTTCAATATTAAAAATACCTTGACCCCTCGGTCAAGGGCATTGATATTAGGACAGGGCTTTCAGCAATCTTAAATGGAGTCACTATTTCCTTGAATACTTTTATCTTTGCTTCTGAGAATCTAGAAGGCATAAGAGATTGAACAGCTGTAATAAGCTGTGGCATTTCTATTAGAATTT